CGAGCTAACTTATATATATATATATTTTAAGTTCTTCACGTGTCCTATCATCTATATATATCCGTCAATCTACGCCCGAGTCTTTCTGTTTCAGAAGTGTTGTTTTATAGGAGACTGAAAAACTGAGAAGAAATTTTATTTTAACTAATTAAGTAATAGTTACAGTATACGTGTATTAATTAAATTATATTAAGACCATCTCAATTTGGGATTAAAAAAAGATTGTCAATTCTATATTAAGATGGTTACTGTCACTGTCATCAAAAAGTAAAAATTTTCTAACCAAAATTTTACATATAACTGGTTCTTGTGACGGAAAACAAATTAGTTATACAGTTTTTAATAGTTAAAACTTTTTTAAAAACCTATAAATAAATAGTCGGCACAGCTCCCACCTGCGTCTCGTCAGTTAAATGACTTTATTTATAAATATAGTTTTCATTTTAAAAGCATGAATACTAATAAAAACAAAAAAAGTTGTTTTAATGACATATTAAAAATAAGATTATTGAAAGCATTGACAGGCTACGAGCGTAGGTAATGAGCTACGACTGTAGCATCATGTCGCAAATTCTTGTACCATTTAAGAAATTGCGCGAAGAAATCTATTCTTTTCGGTGATGCTAATGCTGTTAGTCATTTGGCTTTCAGAGCACATAAGTCTGAATATCGTGTTATTCGGACTTATTGACTTGTATCAAATGTAGATCTGTGATTGTTCTTTTTGTAATTTATTTTCTTCTGATAATAATTATAAGGGCAACGATTTGAGAATTACATTCACGTGTTTCGTGTGACATGACAATTTTTATTATAACGTAACGCACCAATATAATAATTAAGAAAGATAATAACGAATCAAATAAATATTTTAAAAAATTCTAAAAGGTAACTTTGACACTTCTTGGCCACGATGAATGAAAAATTATAAAAAAAGCAAACAGAATATTAATACAATAATATTACATATATAACAAAATATTTGTTGTTCGCAAATCTACACAACACTAATGAGCTCAAAGACCTATTTCTCTATGAATGAGGTTAAGGATTTCACACTTGTGTCACTTTGATTTTAAATTAAAAGTAATATAAAATACATCATAATCTTACCATTATGTGTTTCATTTTTGTGCGTACTATTACTGTGACTGTGGTTCAACTTGCATCTACTAAGATAAAGAGATAAAACGTATTGTACTTCCTTTTCCAAGGCACGGGCTACGTTTATTTTAAACCTACTCTCTACTAACTTATGAAAGAGTAGTTATTTTTCTGAAGTTATATTTTAATTGTTATATTTTTTATTGTCTTACCGGTTTTAATTTTACCTGGTATTCAAAGCCGCACAAAGTAAATAAAATGAAGAATCTATATAATGCTTGGTTGGTCAAGTGTAAAAATCAACATAATAAATATAATTGTAACTATTTAACCAGCTTTTAGCACAACAAGAACCTTCATGAGAGTGGCTGTTACCTGCTGCTTAAACCTAATAGTACTGGTGTACAGTGACTGTACTGGTGTACTCTGGTCTGTGTCTTCTGGTCTGAAGTGTATAGAGGAGAGTATAATTAGAGGCCGTAAAGCATTCTATCTTGACAGAATGATTTTTAGAGTGATGAAAACGTATTTATAGCCTTCAAGTGCGAAGTTTGCTGCAGGTATCTGTGAGCAAGCAGTATTTACTTACCATCGCGTGAATTTTAAGTTTTTTCTCACTTCATTTTTAAAGAAAGTAAAAAAAATCAACAACGGTCAAAACCAACAAATACACCTTCGATAGCTTCTATTTTATTTTACCAGAACTTCTTTGTAATTCTCAATATAAGGTGTGTATAATAAAGATAAGGTCCGTATTAATAAAATTTCAACCACGGACTCAAGTGCTTATTGATTTGATAGGCTCACATTACGATATCAGCATGCTAAGATCGTTGCCAATTAATAAACATATAAAAACATTATCCCAGTTACCAAGATCAGCTCCTCAAGACGTTTTACTTGGGATAGTGTTCTGTTACTTGAGGGCTTAATCTCGTAAACAATTACGTAACATCGACAAACACTTAAATGTTTACAACTCAACTCAATGGGTGCGTTTGGCAGAAAAAAGCGCTAGGAAGCGCTTGTAAGCAAAATGGCGATCGTAAGCGGTAAGTGCTGTCAAATCGTAAGTAGCTATTTTCCTCTAGGACACGATGTTAGTTTTAACCGGGGAACCTAACCTAATTTAATAAGTATTCATATTAAAAACTCACCAATCATGAATTTTTAATAACATGTATATGTTTATTCATGTCATTATATTACTTAAAACTAATATTGCACAAAACAACTTTTAAACTCTATTTCAAAACAAACAAATTAAATAAGCAAAATGGCGGATTATGTCAGGGCTACTGAAGTAGCAATCGTGTCCTGGCCGAAAACTATTTTAGCGCTTGTAAGCGCTTGCTAGCGCTTTTTTCTGCCAAACGCACCCATTATGTACAAATAACCTATGACATTACTGCGACAATGTCAGTGTCAAAAAAGAAGACGACACCAAACAACATCTGCTTGTTTAAAATGTATCTTGTTAACTGATCATCACTGACACGGTAATTTTTAAAATTACTATTAATTATTTTTATAATTTAATTCACACAAAGATTGAGAAAAAATCGTAATGTCCATAAATCATTTGTTTGTCCTTATGTTCCATCCGTCCGTAAAATTTCGTAATAGTGCTCTATTTAATCGTAATAATTAATTTAACTAAAAATATTTTTAAATTCCATGATTCGCGCTTCTACAATAACGACCTCAAGTCACGGACCGCCTGCACTCAGATTTTAGCATCTCAAGTACATGCACCTATTGAATTAATTTAACTCAAAATATTTTTAAGTTCAATGATTCGCGCTTCTACAATCACGACCTCAAGTCACGGACCGCCTGCACTCAGATTTTAGCATCTCAAGTACATGCACCTAATGTTTACTGGAGAGTCGAGAGCATTTTTTAAATAGTGCGTTACTCAGCTTATAACTTAAACCTAAGCCGCAACTTGAGGTATGTTTATTAATAAGATCATAACCTCAAGATTGTCACCAAGTGCGTGCACCTAAACTTGAGGTATGTTTATTAATAAGATCATGATTTCAAGCGGTACACGTAAGTTGAGGAACGTTTATTAATACAGGCCTTAATAAATAAATAACGCCAGCAAAATTTTTCTAATGTCATCTGATTGGAAAATCAAATTCCTTTGAAATTAAGTTTGACTTTATTTTTACTCTACATAGATGAGTATAACAAACCTTCAACCTACAAGATATTATTTTAGGTCGAAAACAAAATAAAATAAACTGTGTTTGAGTGTGATCGAGTTCATTGACCTCAACAGTCACAATTCGTAATCGTTCGATTGGTAATTATACGGGATAAAGTGTACTTACATGAGATTAACCTGTATGTACCGAGAACGTTTCATACTATCGACTGTTACATTTTGTTTTTGGTGACGCTTGTTATTGTGCATCCAATCAGTGAAATTAATTACATATTTTTTAACGGTTAACATAAACTTATCATTCAATAGACTTAGTTAACGTGACTAGTGTACCCTCTAACGTCCGTCAATCTCCATTTCAATCCTCCAGGAACAACTTACCACCCAGTCACAATCCTCGCTTCGAAATGAAATGGAGATAATGGGCATCAACGAAAATATCATTGAGAACCTGCAACACATTGTCCTCGTTACGGCTTCTAAGATCAGCATCACACTAGTTAACGACGACATTGATTTCGTTGACCGTCCAGAGATTCTACGAGACCGAATCAACGAGGAAAGTCAATTTAAATGACCCCGACCTGTCATAGTACGCTTTCTAAGAAAAGACAAGCGTGATGATTTTTTAATGGCGACGAAGGCTGGACGTAACCTCACTAACCCAGTTATTGAAGTTCAGGGACCTCCTAGAAAATTATACTTTAATGAACATCTTACAAAATAAAATCGCCAGTTGTTTCGGGATGTTAGAACTCGATCAAGAGAATCGTAGGTACTGCTGGATCAAAAATAGAAATTTTGATATCCGAAAGGACGAAGGCAGTCCAGCCCACACCATACGAAGTGCTGCTGACATGGATCGGCACCTTGTTTCCCAGGATCATGAGTGTAACCCATCTTCTTTTCCAAAACAAGACAATAAATTAAATTAGCCTGCTTTGCTTGTTATTAAGTTCATGTTTGTTTTGTTGCATGTTATGAGATGTTATGGGAATGATTTTTTTCAGCAATATTATGAGTATTATGAATATTTTTCTCTAATTTTTATTGTTAATCTATGCCAAAAGAAAGTGAACGGAAGTATTAGTTTACCGGTAATATTCAAAATAAAACTAATCCTCCACCCATTCATAACTTATGTATTTAATAATCTTACCTTTTTCACAAATAGTTATAATACATTCGGTAAAGAATTTCATTCTAAATAATATTATGTTACATATTTATGTATATAGTGTAAGCAAAATACTACTATTGCACATCGCAAAAAAAGGCCTTATTTTATATTGCTTATATTCGAATTTCGATTAAATTATACCTCTATGATTAACACTATGACTGGCTTAAGTTCTTTAATACACAAATGTGCATTTCCTCATTTGGGTGACTTCTGAGCATTTTGACAATCTATATTAGGGCCAGAAGAGTGTGAGCAGCTGGCAGTGTTTAGAAAGACATTCTGTGCAAGTTGATTTCTTGTAGTATTTATATTACAGCTGCCAAAAATTATAAGGACATTTAAAATATCCCTTACAATTATTTCATGGTACAGGAATATGTAAAAACCATTTCAATATAAATATAGGTCAGTCAGTTGTCAGATCGTAAACAGTACGCACGTACATTCGTTCAATATTGTCTCGCGCTGTTGCAGGTTGCAACTGTCTACTATACTCTAACGTTTCTTTTTAATAAAATGTTTACTTGCCACCGTTGTAGGATGGAAGCTAGAGATGGTGTTCAGTGTACTCTGTGTTTGAAGCAATACGACTTTCCGTGTGCTGGAATAACCGAGATTGGTTTTCGAAAACTTGGCGATAGGAAAGCAACGTGGAAATGTAATACTTGTAAAAATACTAGCTCCGGAAATCCAGCTCCTGGTCGTTCCAATTTTTGCACTCCATGTGATCTCGACGGTATTCGTGGTGAGTTACGTGGACTCTCTGAACAAATGTCATCATTGCCTAAGTTACTAGATTCGGTAAAAAATATTCAGGCTGATTTGGCCGATCTTAAAACGATTAAATGTGAGTTGTTGGTTGTGAAAGATTCGCTGGACTACGTTCACACTTCGGTTGACACGCTTATAGCTAGGTTAGCCGAGGTAGATCGTGAAATTTAAACACTTCAGAAGACCAAGGAAGATGTAACCCACCTAGAACAGCGGTTGCAAAAATTGGAAGCAGTCTTCAATGATGGGGAGCAGCGGTCACGATTGAACAATATTGAAATCAAAGGAGTTCCTATAACTAACAAGGAAAATCTATTTACCATTGTATCTAAAATAGCAACCAAAATTGACTATGAATGATTAGCGATAACAACATTAATTACATTGCTAGAGTTCCTTCCCGCAACGATAAAAACAATAAAAACATAATCGTATCTTTGCACAATCGATACATCAGAGACAATTTTGTTGCAGCAGCGAGAAAAATTAATCCCTTACACAGTTGGATATAGGTCTTAACGGTACTAACAGAATTTTTATCAACGACCATTTAAAGCTTGAAAACAAATTGTTATTAAAAAAAAACAAAGGCTTTGGCCAAGGAGCGGGATTTTTCGTACATTTGGGTGAAGAACTGCAAAATTCTTGTACGGAAAAACACAACATCACCTTTTCATATAGTAAAAACGGAGTTGGATTTAAGAAAAATTTACTGCACTGCAACTGAACAATAATTTGAGTTTAGGATTTCTCAAATTATTGTTCAGTTCACTTACTGTGCATACGCAAAGTTTGAGAAGCGTTGGAATCGTCTATTCATTAATTGTTTGTCTGCTTATCAAAAGGGCAAGTTCTTGCTATTTGTGTTTGTTATTATTATCTCTGTTTTGCTCATTATGCTGTTGTGCTTAAAGTAACGTTTTGCATATCGAATCTCACAGGCTCAGATTTTATAATACCCTTTTTTAATTTTTCTTTTGTTTATCATAGATGTTTTGTTATATTTGTGCTATGTTATTTATTTTATAGATTACAAGTAATTATTTACTATTATTTGTACGAATGTTGGAATTATTTATGTGTACTTGTACTTGTAAGTTATATACATGTCATATTTTCGCGTTATTTTTGGAATGTAGGAGAATAATTGCTATTACTCCACAAAAATACCGTCTTCACTTCTTCACTTGTGTCTCACTTGTACGCGTATATCATGAAATATTTATGCATTTTACTAATTAATAGGAAATTATTTTCTTATATGCCTCAACGTAAATTATTTGTAGTTGCTACTATTACTTATCAAGTTAGTTTAGTGTTTATCCTGTTGCGAAAACATTTACCTCAAGAAATATAATATATACTACCAAAACGTCCGGGGCTTACGGACTAAAGTAGCAACTTTATATAGGAATATCGTTATGATTAATTACGACTTAATATGCTTAACGGAAACGTGGCTTAATGAGGACTTCAATGACACTGAATTATTTGATAACCGATACCTAGTTTGGAGGCGTGATAGGAATTATTCTGATACAGGTCAAAGTATGGGGGGTGGCGTTCTTATTGCTGTTCGACGATAGCTTATAGTTTTTGAACGCAGTGAATGGCGTTCATCAGCGGAGGATATATTGATTACTCTAGCCCTAAAGAGTGCATCGAGTAATATGTGTTACAAATTAAATATTTGTGTTGTTTATATGTGCTACCAAAACTTAGGTAATTCTTTATTACAGCAATTAAAATGTTTCTACACTAAATTAAATGAGACTGTGTTAAATAACTTGACAGACGGTTTTTTAATTCTAGGCGATTTTAATTTGCCGAATATAATATGGCAGCCAGCTGACGATGGGCAATCTCAATGCCCATCTAATATTCAAGGTCCCATTCAGTCGGACTTTTTTGATACTCTCCATTTATGTTCCTCATCTCAGTATAATAGTCAACTAAACTGTAACAACAGAATTCTGGATTTAATTTTCTGCAATAACTTTATAGATGTACATAAATCTCTAGACCGTTTGGTGTCGGAAGATCATCATCACGTGGCTTTATGTATATCTGTTGATTTCATCCACTAGCATATGCTTTCACCGCAAACCAGAACTAAATTCCTGTATAATTTAGCAGACTACACTAAAATATGCCAACAACTTGATAGTACGGACTGGTCCAACTGTCTTAGAATTGGTACTTTAGAGGAGGCTGTACTCTTATTGTATGATAAGTTAAAAACGATAGTCAATGCACATGTCCCTTGCAAAACTGTTAAACCAACTTCCAGATTTCCTCCTAGGTATAAAACCCCCCTGATTAAAATCTTAAAAGAAAATGAAGTACCATTCTAAGTATAAGAAATGTAGAAACACTTCTGATCTTGATTCTTTTATTTTATTAAGGGAACGTGGTAAGGTTCTTGAGAAAAGTATGTACGAAGCTTACATTCGCAATATAGAAAATAACATAAGCAAGTCACCAAAAGCCTTCTGGAATTTTGTCAAGAGTAAAAAATCTCCAAATTCATATCCTTCTAGTATGAAATTCGATCAATATTCTTCAAGCAAAGGTGAAGTAATTTGTGATTTCTTTAATCAGTTTTTTAAGTCCAACTTTCTTCACGATTCTGACACAACCAACTTTAATATTATTGACACGAAAATTGATCAATCTCCTGTCGATATCAATTCCATCGAAGTGAAAGAAGCCGAGGTATCCAGACTTTTAAAGAATATCGACCCGCACAAATCAGCTGGACCAGACGGTATCCCGGCGATCTTCATCATACGTTGTGCGGGCTCCCTTACTTTGCCTCTGAGCATCCTGTACCGCCGTTCTTTAAAGGAAGGCTTGTTTCCAAATGTTTGGAAAAATGTGTTTATTACTCCAGTACATAAAAAAGGATCTAAGGATGAGGTACAAAATTATCGTCCCATTTCTAAGCTCTGTCTATTTACTAAAGTGCTTGAAAAAATAATTTCCAATCAGGTGTACTCTTCTCTTCGTCACACATTTAGTGAAAATCAACATGGTTTCTTAAAAAACAGATCAACTGTGTCAAACCTTATTGTTCCGACTACCTAACTAGATTTATGTCCAAACCAGCACAAGTTGACGTAGTATATACAGACTACTGCAAAGCATTCGACAGAATTGATCATTTAATTCTTTTACGTAAACTCCTTACAATGAGTATCAGAGTTGATTTGTTCAGATGGTTTACGTCATATATCATAAATCGAAGTCAATCTGTCGTCCTTGGTGGATATGTTCCTCTATAATCCATATATCGTCTGGCGTACCGCAAGAATCCATATTAGGTCCTTTGCTCTTCTTAATTTTTATCAATGATATCGATACGTGTTTTTAAAGTTCCAAGATTATTCTTTACGCTGACGATATGAAAATCTTATGTCCTATTACAGATTTGGAAAGTTGTTCAAGCCTTCAAAAGGATCTCTATAATTTAGAAGCATATTGTTTTAACTTGATCTAAATGCTTCTAAATGTTTTATCTGCTCATTTATTCGTAAACCTAATCCTATAATATATAATTATAAATTACACCATACTGCTCTAAATAGAGTCAGCACTATCAGAGATCTAGGCGTTACCTTTGATTCAAAATTGCTGTTTGACAATCACGTTGATGATATTATTACAAAGGCTAACAAAGCGCTAGGTTTTATATTAATATTATCGGCAGATTTTAAAAGTATAAAAACTTTCAAAATTCTTTATTGCGCTTTTGTACGCAGCCACTTGGAATATGCCTCTGAAATTTGGAATTCTAAATATAATGTATATGCTGATAGGATAGAGTGCATACAAAAACGATTTTTACGTTTTCTTCAATTTAAATCAAAAAAGTTTATACCCAACTATACTCTTCGATGTAAAATATTTCATATCTTACCTTTATATGAGCGAAGAAATATTGCGGATCTCTCTTTCCTCTCTAAAATTGTTAATGGTGTTGTTGAAATAGGTTTACGTACCTCATCATATAACTTGCGGAAACCTACACTTCTATCGGTACCATACGTGAAAAGTAATTATAGACAAAACTCTTTTATTGTTACAGCACATATTCACAACGTGGATATTGACTTATTTCATTCCAGCGTTCCCCAACTTAGGCGATTACTTTCTAAAAATTTCTTTTCTTCTCGATAGTGTACTGTTACTTGCCATATACTTGTACATATCTGTTTTGACACAATCTTGTTTATTATAAAGTAGTATATAAGTGAAAACTTGTAATTGGCCTTCATTTTTGTTATAATTATATTATTTTTGTAAATTAGCTGTAAGTTTTCCAAATAAATAATAAATAAATAAATAAAAATAAATGTGCGTATTCCTCTCAGTTTATGAGTGACGAGCTCTCTCTTCAATATCTCTTTCTACAAATTTTTTATACACTACGGCCACCATAGAATTCCAAGTCGATATAGAAAAATCTTTATCGACTAATAAATGTCACTCACTGAATAGACTCGATTAGTGTAAGAGAGTTTTTCAATCAAACGATTTTAAGCTTCTCACTTTTAATAGTTTAGTTAGTCTTCAACACAATTTCAATGATTTTTTGGTTGTCCTAAAAACGTTGAACATAACATATGACGTCATCGTTCTGACTGAATGCTGGCTACATGATAGCTCAGTTATTGGGCAAATCGACAGCTATAAGGCCTTTCAGACTAAAAAGTATATCAATAAGAATGGGGGAGTAGTTGTTTACATTAGGTTGGACAAGTGGATGTCCTCTGTGCAGAAGCCCACCTTTGATAAGGTAAACTGCCTTAGGGTTGACTTGGATAACTCATTGTCTATACTATGCATTTATCGCTCCCAATCATTTCACAACTTAAACGGCTTTCTGCAATTTTTGGACAGTACACTTGACAGCTTACAGGATAGGTCTTGTGTAATGGTGGCGGGTGACTTAAATATCAATCTGCCAGCTAGTGACACTGATTTGCAGGTATATCATTACTTATGCTTAATTGCTTCCCATGGGTTGTTGTCGGCCATTTCAGAACCTACTAGGGGAGATACATGCTTAGACCA